TGCTATTGACAGGACGATACCTGTCAGCACTGCAGATTTTCTGCTATTGACAGGACGATCCTGTCAGCAGTGCAATATTTTCTGCTATTGACAGGACGATCCTGTCAGCAGTGCAATATTTTCTGCTGTTGACAGGACGATCCTGTCAATAGCCACAGGCAAATTCTATATTTTGGAGTGTACTTTTTTGTAATTAATTTGGTGTACCAAGGACATTTATACACTGTGTGTTGACAGTCACTCCACGGAGTAGGGCGAGTCCAATGGTGTTAGTTCTTAGTCCTTTTGTTGACGTTGACGTTGACGCTCCTTCCTGGCCATCCTTTTTGCCTCCACGGCGGCAACTCTCTCGCTTTCAAATAATATCCTTGGGAGTACCAAATGGAGTTTCGGAAGAGAATCAGCAACTCAGCGATGTATTGTCAGCCATACTTTTGTCAGCAGACAGTTTACAAAATAATTATGCCGACACAAAAATGAAAATGTTCCCATATCTACATGTATAAAAAATTTCCCAGAATAATTTCTGCAATAATCTAACCATTGATTTGATTGAATCCCATCATCTGCTCTTTGGATTCTGTCCACTGTTGATTTCTTGTTCCTTACAAGTATTGAATTAAAGAAGAAACTGAACATACAATTTGCACTGTAATTCCCTCTTTACTAGAGCTGTGTACCTAAACAAATTTTAGGTACAGGTACAGGTACAGGTAAACAGGTTTAGGTACAGGTCCGGACCTGAACCTGTACCTGAACAATTCGACCAATTTTAATATGCTCTTCTGAACTCCTTCAATAACAAAAAAACATAAATAAACTTGATAGTTAAGGTTTATTCTTTGTTTATGGCGAATGCTCAGATAAAATATAGGCTATATATATGTTTTTGTTTTCATGAACACACTGTCCTTACACAGGGACCCATTGTTAACCAGCTATTTACACATTTGAGGTCACAAATAGGCATAAAATTGGTGTGAAATTGTTTAGGTACAGTGGTACTGAGGGATTAGGTATTTTGGACCTGTACCTAATCAATTTTACCGGTACAGTATCGGTACTGCGTACCGGTACACAGCTCTACTCTTTACTGTTTACAGTACGGAAATGTAAACCTCTGCTCCCTCCACGTCATGGCACCATCTTCTGTGACCGAGATGACTACACGTTTGAGACAGTCTGCAAGTTCACCTGTGCCCCGGGACACAAGCTGGTCGGGTCCCACAAGAGAAGGTGTCTGGCCATCGCACACTGGGACGGTGTCCCTGCGGAATGTGGAGGTATGTTTTCACATCTAGTGCTGTGTACCTAAACCCACATTCAGGTTAGTGAGGCCTGGACTCGTGACTAAACCCAGGGCATATACAAAATATGGAAGGAAAATCTCAGTGAACAATTGGAAAACGGGCATTTTTACCGCAAAATCGTGCAACCAGGGTTTAGAAGTAAGATATGTTGTTTGGGTGCCAGGAATGGGCGAAACTGTGGCCACATAATTTATGGAGGCTGACACTTGACAATGCTCAATGGCAAAAAATGTTAAATATTTATTTGTGCCATTTTCTTCCGCCAGTTATCACGTGCCCCAGGCTGTCTGCTCCCAACCATGGATCTCTCCTACCCAAGAACCCTTGCACCAAGAAGAAGGTCCCATATGGAGCGTCCTGCCAATTCAGCTGTGAAGATGGCTTCCAACTGGAAGGGACTTCAGACACTACCTGTAACAACAGTGGGGAATGGGACAACCTGACAGAAGAGCCAGTTTGTAAAGGTATCTGACATTAGTGTCTAGGCCTAGGAAAAAATATGTTGTGTTTCCTGTTTCCTGACCGACCCTAGAAAAACTACTGACCCAAGTCTTTGTTTTGGGTGGACCTCTGCAAGGGACATAATTTTTTCAAACTGATCAACCTTTTCTAACTCCATGATCTGAGTCACTTCTGACACCAGCTGAGTGATGAAATGTTGTACACGCTCATCAGGTTTCCAACATTGACATTAAAAATATAAGTGTCCTCATGCAAGTTATTCTTTGTTAAACTGTATTGTATAAGTTGAATCCCTAGAGATCGCCAAAGTCTAATAAAAAAAAGAAAGAAAAGGTAATCCCTACCCTGACTCAATTTTTTTCAGGACTGAAACAGGAAACACAACATTTTTTCCTAGGCCCAATACTCATACAAGTCCTAGTCTGGTTTTCAGTTTTGAGAATGATACATTGACTTACTTGTACTATAAATGCAGGTACGTCTTTCGCGGTAGGAGGGAAAAGGAGCTTGAGGTTTCTATTGTGTTAAAGATATTATGATTTATCCATGTCAATTTACTTCATGCCATGAAAACTGCAAGAGCAGTGAAAAAGGTGCGTACTCCGGGAATGCGTATGCTTTCACTTTATCCCTCAATTTTTGCTTCGTCACAGCCTTTTATTCTATATTGTCAAGTCACAGGGTTTCCAAAACACTTCTGGTTTTCTTCTCTGGACATTGTTTGCCACTTGTTTTATACCCTCGTCCTCCACTACCAATCTTGCCTGTTAGACTTAACATGGCCACCCTGCTTATCTTAAGCTGACAAATCGTGCTGCCACTTTGTGACCCTCTCCTGTATTTAAGGTAGTTACAATTGACAGGTCATGTCCTACCACAGTGACCTGCTAAGTGATTCTGTGTGTCTTGAGTTTGAAAGTAGATGCTACACAAATGATAAGCCTGGTAGAGACAGTTAACAGCTCTACAGGTCTTAAGTGTGATCAATAATTAAACTAATTTTAAGACACATTCTGTGTGCCATTACAGGTGTTTGGAGAAGCAGCATTATACATGTATGTAACATCCTTTGTGAGAAATCTGTTTTTTATTTGAACACTGTGCCTTATCAATCTTATCAGAGTTATAGTGACATGTGAGTTCTTATTATATTAAAGCTTATAACTACTTACTCCTGAAGATGACAGCTCAATATTTCATTTAAAGAATAAATAATATTAATAGGTAAAACGTTAGGAAGAGTATTAATCACTAAAGTTGTGACTGCACTGTTTGTTTGTTTTTTGCTATAGTATAGTTTCTTTTCTTTAACATTCAACTTTTACGTGTTAATCAGATTATAATATCAAAATCAAGTACAAAATCAAAGGTTGGACTATCCTGCTCCTTAAAAAATAATTTTTTTATCTATAAGCATGTTTTTTTCTGTACGAATGTTCTGGATGACCCTTACAAGCTTGTCAGGACAGTGTGGTATAACACCAGGATGTGTTGATATAGTGCTGGTGTGTCTGCTACCACTGCCAGTCTGTTTGTGATGACAACGAAGTGAGATTTACCATCAAAGCAATTAACCCTTCTCCTGCCCTGTCTGTGTGTGGGCTTAGTTTTTCCAGCCTATGCCACTGTAGGCTGCATTCTTTTCTGCTGGTATAACAGAGTCTGCAAGGGTAGTTACCTACACTTAATTCTAAATTCTTTGGATTTAAAGATAGTACATTAGTCTTAAAATTTAAAATAAGCAGCACTTTGGTAGAACATACTCCACTTGCATGAAAGCATGATCTCTGTTGGATGTCAACGTTGCATCAGAATTTTTTTCCATTGCATGAGACATACATGTATTCTCCAACATAACATTTGAAAACTGTAGACAAGTTATTGTGAATACGACCTTATATTGTTATAAAAGGCCAAAGTGCTGTGCACAATACATCACAGGTTTCACACAGGCGCAGTACATTCTGCCGACATGATAGTTATTTGTAAATTGTACGTAGGTCATGAGTCCTACAGTACAGCTGAACTCCTTGTGTTTTATCGGATCCTGACAAAATGAATTGCTCTCAGATAAGGGCTAAATAAACGTCTGTCTGCAGACATTACCACAAGCCTCAGGACTTCTATTATCTCCCCAGGGAAAACTGTTTTAGCTGACAAGTCAAGTGACCTGACAAAGAGTTCACCAAGCAGTTTTTTTGACAATCAATATCTTTATAGTCACTTGCGGTCAGTTTACAGTAAGGCCACAACAGGTAAATTTTATGGATGGCATCCTCCGCAGACTCAAAATCTAATGCGAGCGGGCAAAAAAAAGACAAGGCGGGCCGCATAAAAAAGAAGGTTCCTACATTTTAAAATTTTGACTCAATTATTGTACAAATGGTTTTTATTCAGTGGGAACATCACATATACACCGCCAGAATTACATATCACTGCATCAAACTAAGAAACAAAACATTAATTCAGAGCCTTTTCTTGTCTCCTATGTTCATAATCATAGTTATCTGCCTGGCATCCACCTTCTGGCATGGCAACAGACATCTTTACCCATTTTTGGCATGTTGACCACTCAGAAGGCAGAAACAAAATTTCTTGTTTTTTTTTATACAAAATCAGGTGAAAATTAATGCACATGCTGATGTATGTCATCCATAAAAATTACTTGCTGTGGCGTAACCTTAATTAGCAACTCCAGAATTCTTTATACTACATTGCCTCTGGATTTGATATGGGAATTGTGGTCAATGGCACTTAATCTACAGCTAACTTGTAAGCTTTCTAAAGGGTTTTGCCGAGCTAAAGGGTTTTGCCGAGCTAAAAATGAAGAATGATATGCAGAATTAGAACATGTGACTTCATGAATCACAGTGAATTATAAATGGTGTCCCTGTTTCTGTTGAGCTCGAGGGTGGACAATCCATTTTAATAGGCTTAGGGATACTGAACCAGGTTTAAACTGTAATGTCTTCAAAACCCCAAAAAATTGTACTTACCCAAACTTTGAACCATTATGTAAATGCCCTGGGCTTAAGGATATGTTTTAAACTAAATGTTGTTTGGGCTGTTCTACCAGACATCACCCCTCCCCATATGACTTGCCCCGATGACATCAACATGGAGGCAGCAGAGGGCGAGAACAGTGCCAATGTCACCTGGGCGGTCCCTGTTGCCACGGACAATGCAGACAACAACCTGCCAATCACCGTCGTACCCACAGTCTGGCCCCCGAGGCTGTTCTCCATAGGAGTGGTGAATGTGACGTACTCAGCTCAGGACAAGTCAGGCAACGTGGCACAATGTACCTTCACCATCAAAGTTAAAGGTAAATGGCACAACTAGCCGTCCTACAGGCTGGATGAAAGTAAACAATGGCAGATGGCAAAGACCTCAACCATCATACATTTCTTTTAAGATTATCAGCAATTTGAAAGTGATGTTTGTCTGTATTATAATTACAATGTATGTCAGTTGATTTCGACATCATCTTTAAAAATTTGTATAGTTAGCTTGCTGCCAATGTCATAGTAAGAAACAGGGTTCTAGTATGTACATGTACATTTGTTTCTTCAAGGAAGTTCAATATTAATGGAACACTTTAAAAATGGTACATACGGCTTTCTCTGTTTAGCATTCACAAAGTATGGGAGTTGCCAGTGGACTATCCTCCTGCTGTTAGTGGTAATTGCACTACTGTGTGGCCCAAGGACAACAGAAATGGATATGGGCGCTGCGATACCCAACATGTATGGTTGCAGGGAGGACTTTAAGTACCAACAAGTGTGTGAACGTCCACTTCCATCAGTTTAAGTCTTGTTTTTTTCCCAGATACCCAGCCTCCTGTTATAGACAAATGTCGGTCTCCCCCACCCTTTCTGTCCAAGACTGGGATGGCCAACGTGAGCTGGGAGGAGCCTCAGTTCTCTGATAACTCAGGGGAGCCTTTACAGATGCTGCGGAGCCACGAGCCAGGACTGTTCCCCTGGGGAACCTCCATTGTCAACTACACAGCAGTGGACACTGCCGGGAACAGCAAGAGTTGTAATATCATCGTCCATGTGCAACGTAAGGGAAAATCTGTCAGGGTTCGAAATTCATTGTTAAGGAATAGGTGCACTTCGTGGTGTGGTGAAGCCATAATCATGTAGTGAATATGAAATGGCGTTACAGTATGATAAATTAAGAATGTAAAGTGAAAGTTCAGAATTGTATGAGTAGAATACAGAGATGTTTTATGGTCAGATCTAAATTTTGTATAATGATTATATATTATGATATATTGTATTTACATGTAACTGAATAATGGTCTTTATGCCAGTTATTTTAGGCCAGTATTTTTTCTCACAATATTACAGAACATGTATGTGATGTACCAGATGACCCCTTGTACGGTGCGAGTGACTGTAACACCATGGAGCGAGGCATCAACTGTACCCTGCACTGCTCCAACAGTCATGGGTTCGCCATCCAGCCTGAGAACTTCTACTACTGCACCCTGGAGGGCAACTGGCTCCCCGCAGAACACCACAAGCCTTGGTGGCCTGACTGCTCAAGTAGGTGAATACAAACCTCACTGTTCTGTACAAAAATTGTAGCTTCCATGATACTGTTTCTGGTAACTTCAAGCTGCAAACTAGTTACTTAGTATTTCAGCAGACTACTGCATTGCCTTCTTTACAGTAAAGGTCAGTGGTTAAAATATTTTTTTTTTCAATGTTCTGCAATATTGCAGAATGTCACAATATTGTTCTGCAATTTGGAAATACTTTCTGCAAATATACACTTTTAAGCCCTGACTCAAACCCGTACAAAATACAAACTTGGAGGTTACTTAAGTTTAAATTTCTTCTGCAACTTTGAAAATTTCTCTGCAAAATGCATACTGCAGATGGATATTTCTAACACTGAAGGTGTAGCAGGCTAGAATGTACCTCTTGCCAGAATGTACCCGGGTATGTTCTGTTCAGGGGGTAGTCCAGCCGCGACACCTGTATGTAGCTTTTAAAATCAAAACAAAAATCATTCTTCTGCATAGCATACAGGATATATAGAATCAGTATTGTAATGCATCAGTGTTTCCGCCAGACTGCAGCTGAGAGGCCGTCCAGTTGGGAAAGGCCAGGTCGCGAAAATTAATTAACTTAGGGAACACGTCGCGAAAAATTAACTGAGGGGGCGGGGCATTTGTTTACACTTGTTTACAAGTTAAAACTGTCCACAAGCATTCCACATTTTTTTTGTATTGACATAAAAACACTGTTGCAGATGGCAAAAGTATCGTCAGGAAATTATACTGTTGCAAAACTCTGCTGCAAAACTCCAAACATCGGCATCATTTAATTATAACCTCCGGTAGCGCCCGCGCTAGCCGGATTTTTAATAGTGAAGAGCCTTGCTTCGTTCGTACTCGTACTTCTTCCGTAGATTTCCGCTACGAATTACTAGTTAATATCAAGCCAAAAATACATCAAAACATGTAAAGAAACGTCATCTTATCTCTCATACACCGAGACAAATTTTGAAAAATAATTGGCTGTATCGTAGCTTTCATTGCTGTTTCATTCAACAAAAATGCTCCTTGATTGTAAAATGATCACTCATCTGTTGTCTCCAGTACAGTGTCAAATGGTAGCGTGATCGTATCGTGCGAAAAATCGGCGTTAAAAGTCAGAAAATCGCCGGAAAAATAAACTTGCAGCGCACATTCTCAACCTCGCCGGAGAAGGAAATACGCGCCATTTTGTCATTAAATATGTAAGTAGCAGCGTGAACTCTATGCTCTGATTGGTTGACCTCATATGACCTGCGCTCTGATTAAATAAAGCCGTTACCCTTTGCCGGCATAGCTGTAGAATTTGTTTGTTGGCGAAGAGAGTTACACTACGCTACTTTCTACCGTGTTTCTACCGCTAATTAGTAACATTCCATTAAAGAAATTCATTATGAAGAATTTTTGGGTAAATGTATGCATCCATATGCCGATTTGTGGTGCCTTTCGCGTATTCAAGCAAGCCGGAAGTGTTAGCGAACCGCGGCGTGGATAGCGAACTGCGGCGTGGATTTTCATGCAACCCGCCCGCTACAAGACCATCAAAAACAAAAACGTAACTCCCAAAAGAGAATTTTCACATCCGAAATGATTCTGTTCGAGGAAAAATGTTTGTGGATACATTTTACCGGATGGAGACGTGAAAAACGGGTTTTAATTAGATTAACGTATGCGAAAGGCGCCGACATGAATTGTTCGTCAGCATGATAACAATAGCAAAACAAACAACGTGTGTCTTTCTTGCCTTGGACGGCGTCCTCGTCTACAGCAACAAAACAAAGACTGTCAATTTCTCTGATTTTTCCGAGTCTCGAAATTTTTTAAGAGGACGGCCTCTGTCCGAGTTCAGGCCGTCCAAAACGACACCAGGCCGTCATATGACGGGTGGACGGCCCTCTGGCGGAAACACTGTAATGCATGCTGATCTACATGTACACGTATATCGTACTGCAGATCTGACAATCTGATTGCTGACATTATTTTGTCCTCCCTGCAGGTAAGAAGCTGGCTAATGATGCCCTGAAGCACATACAGATGCATTACGAGTCCAGGCTGTGGTGTAACAGCCCAACCCTCTTGGACTCTGTAAAAGAAACTGTCAGTGCCTTGGTAACAAACAAGGTAGGTGTGTTCAATGCAGTCTTCCTTGCATCAAAATTGCTTTGAATCTTACTTTCCACTAGTTCCAGTCAAAAAAAATTAGAAACAAAATCCCTGCCAACCCTTTTGTTTCTGAAAACTTGTGGATCAATGTGAATCTGTGTATTGGTCACGTCCTTGGTGCTGAAAGTCCTTCATTTGAATATAGATGGTAACATGTATTCCGATGTAATTTTTCCTCAGCTTTTTTGCTGATCTGAACCCTCTTCACTGTGTAATGTTTTGATGTTCTCTGCTACTTTTGTTTTTTAACTTGTATATATTTTATATGCATAGCTGTCTGACTACTGTGGAAATGACATTGAGTGTCAACTAAGGCATGTGTCATCACGCTGTGTGCAAATCAACTACGGAGAGGCCAACTGGAAACAACTCCTGCCAGAAACTGAAGGTAGAAATTTATTTCTACACTGCTGTTTTGTCTGCTCTATCCTATAGGTATACAGAATCTTCAAAATCAATCTGCTTTGTTGTTGGAAAGTCTTGTCAAAATACAGGAAACTTGCAAAGAAGAAGATGCAAAACCATGACCCTGTTTGTTTTTCAGAGCCCCAGTACTCTGATGTGATGTTCCACCCTGCCACAAACCTAAAGATGGGAAAAAGGAATAAAAGAAACTTGATAAGCCACCTCAGGAAAAAGCACCTGGGATTGAAAAAAGACAACTTTGCACATCAAACAAGAAGGTATTTGAATCGTCAGCTAAGGAGTTTGCAAAATGAGGAAAGCAGAAGGGGTAAAAGAGACCGTGGGCATGAGGAGACAAAAGAAATCTATGGCAAATGGACCAGGAAGACTTCCAGTGAGTTTCCTACACTGGACAGCATATTTGGTGGTTCCTACAGGCTATCAGCTCCAGAAGTCAGAAGGGATGTGGACAAGGATAGAAAACATCAAGAAACCACCTCTGAAGACATTGAAGGAACTGACAATCCTGAGGACCAGATAGGTGTACCATCTTATAGGTTGGTGTGATGGATTTTGTGTCGTTATTCTGGCATGTCTGACAGCACAGAGGTCACACACACATGTTACAGTATGCCAGTACATACAACTGGTTTTAGGTCTTCTTACTATTAAGTTTTCAGTGTCAATGGTTTGAAGAATTGCAGCCTCTGACCATATGGGCTGCTGAGAGTATATATAATACTTAAGTGTTTTGTCTTCATTATCTTGCAAAAACCAAGGAAAAGAAAGGTTTTGCTTATTGAAGCCTGATAGTCTGACAAATAGCCAGGTATGGAACTAATTTGGCATTATAATCACAAATTGAGATGCTTGCAGTATCCTTTTGATACTTATAGCTTACAGACACTCACTTTGCATTGACGTTGAATAAATGTTTACCCTGACCATCATTTCTTCCCTTCGTGAAGGAGGATACCCTCTATTCAGCTTGGGTTGAATGACCTAAGAAGCCGAATACCCGAAGCTCCAGCCTGGGAGGGTACTGGTAGTTATGACAAGAACAACCTGGTATCATACCAGGTACAGGTAGAACTAGAACTGACAGGTGAGACCATCTTCTCTTGTTGATATGAACTTCAGACTGTAAATAACAAGATTCAAAAGCTGTTGCAAGTAATTTTTTTGTCCTTGAGTAGATCAGTCTCTAGAGACTGATCCCATACCTTCATCAAAACATAGAAATGTAAAATAAATATATGCAAAATACATTGTGCAAACACTTGACAGACATGTAGTTGCTATTCTCATATTGTTTGAACTGCTAATTAGGATGGACAGTCAGGATTGGTCTATTGTGTAATCTAATGATAAGGTACCCAGTTGAGAATGGATGCTGTCCTTGCTTCTCAGGTCACGCCACTCCTCCACCCGACAGCACTGCAGAAGAGGAGCAACAACTACAGAAGGAACTGCTAAACATTCTCGATGACGTGCCCAGTCACATGACCACAGACGGGGCGGAAGGGGCACTGGACATCGATATAGATGGACAAGACCTGAAACTGGACCATAACGCCATCGACACTCATCCGGCCTCCCTGTTCTGTCAGCCAGGAGCAGTGATGAGGGGGGCTTACTGTGGTAGGGTTGGAGACTGACAGGTTTTATGTTGTCTACTGATGATGCAAATTTGAACTAGTATCACTAGAGCTATACTGTTGGAATATCTTTATAGTTTCTATGTTAATTGGAAGTCAATGTCATTGCTGGGGTTCTGATTAGGAACTGTATATATAAACATCAAATAACTGTAAGACTGAATCAGATGCATTTTTGCATCAGACCATCTGCCTCAGTGCTTTTATTATGTCTGCACAGTGAACTGTCCCCAGGGAACGTACTTCGATGTTCAGAGGGGGGAGTGTGCCGCCTGCCCCGTTGGTACCTACCAGGACCTAGAGGCACAACTTCAGTGTGACATGTGTCCACGCAAGACTTCCACAGCCAGGCAAGGGTCCAAGACTGTAAAAGACTGCAAGGGTTAGTATGGAGGAGCAGTTTTTTTCAATGTTCTACAATATTACAGATTGTCAAAATTTTGTTCCCATATACTAAATTGCATGTTTTACATTTTACATGTAATTTGAAAAATGCTTGCAGAATGACTTGAGTGTATATTACAGAGTCAGTAGCTCTTAAACACCATTAAACCCCTAACCTGATTTTTTCCGTCTGCAAAATTGCAGGTTGCGTAATTTTTCTTCTGCAAAATTGAAAAATGTTTTAGGTAAAATGCAGATGGGTATTTCTAACACTGAGAAGCAACATTGCATTAACAGGAAAAGAAATTTAAACACTGCCTTCATTTTGAACAGAAACCTTCATCATGTCTTAAATTTGCAGGCTGCATTTTCAGTACAGTATTATCTTTCAACTCATGAGGGATAATGTGAGAAAAAATGTATTTATTCTCCTATAGCTACATGTATGTTTATCTTTTTGTTGATTTTATCCAATTCTGCTGGCAAGGACCCCTACTCTTTTTTTATAAGTGCAATTATTCAGTTCCATTATCAATATCATTAACATCATTTGTCTTATTTATTTATTTAGTTTTGTTTTCTGTACTTATACTTAAGTTAGTTTATACCTTTCCTTTTATCATATTACGTATGGTTTGTGCAGGGAGCTTTGAAACCGCCAACATGGTGATATGCTGACCTTGGATGAATAAATAAAAATGAAATGAAAATGGACTCCTTACTGTCTCCTCTCCCAAAGCTAAGTGTAAACCTGGCAGTTTTTCGCCTGATGGTTTGGAGCAGTGCGAGACGTGTCAAGTTGGGTACTACCAGCCTGAGGAGGGCAGTAGCTCATGTCTGTCCTGTACTGGGAACTACACCACAGCCAGGAGGGGCACTCGCACGCAAAAGGACTGTGGAGGTCAGTTCTACAGGACAAGGAAGAATTCAGTGATCTGAAAGCAATTTTTAGCTCACTGAAGAACTAATCTTCCACTGGTCGTAATGGACATTCTGCATGGACATTCCCCCATCTACAAAATGTACATACATGTATATATAGCTAACAGTTGACCACAGTCAGGTCATGAATGCCTCTGCCTCTTAAGGACTAGATCACTCTCCCAGGCTTTGAACTTTCAATGTTTGGGTCAGATATCAGCAGAATAGTTCAACACGTACATGATTGTTGACTATAATGTGACTATAATGTGACTTCAATACAGACTTCAAGTGCCAACCACTCTATTTTTTTTAAATACCTGACATGATTATCATACCAGGCTTGTTTTATGCATGTTCCTTGAAGTTAAGATTAATAGAAGAGACTGAGTTATAGAACCTCTCCCTTGTGTTTTTGTGTGTGCAATGTGCATTTACTACCAGAATGCTTTAGAGACCTACAATCATCCATCCACTGTGTTGATGTATCTTCTAATGATAAATAGGATTTGGATAACCCTGGCCTCTCGTTGCTGACACTGTCTCTCTGTTGTTGTCTCGTTTGACACACCAGTGCTGTGTCAGCCTGGGTATGTGTCAGCCACAGGTCTGGAAGAGTGCTACCCCTGTCCTGAGGGATACTACCAGGAGAGACCAGGCATGTCTGTCTGCAACGCCTGTTACAAGGGCGGGTTCAGACCTGGCCGGGGAGCTAAGAAAGGAGCAGCTTCTATTTTCGAGTGTCTTGGTAAGATGCTTTGATTTTCCTTCACTTTGTATCACACAGCAAACTAAGGCCTAGGAAAAAAAATGTTGTGTTTCTTGTTTCCCGACCAACCGTAGAGAAAACTGCTGACCCTACCCTTTTTTTGGGGGTAGACCACTGCATGGGACATAAATTTTTCAAGCTGATTGACCTTTTCTAGCTCAATGATCTGACACCTGAGTGATAAAACGTTGTACAATATTGGTTTTCTAACATTGACACTGAAAATGTGTCCTCATGCAAGTTTTACTATGTTAAACTATTGTATAAGTTGGATTACAATATGATATCACCAAAGTCTAAAAAAAAAGAAAGGAAAAATCCTTACCTATATAGATATACCGACCCTAATTTTTTCAGCCCCGATACAGGAAACACAACATTTTCTTCCTAGGCCTGTAGATGAGTGTCCAGGTCATGAATTGTCCGTGCAAATTGACCTCACTCTACTACATGTACCTCACTCTCTATTTGCAATACAATTTATGATTTTATTTCTATTAGTTTAAGATATCCAAATGATTAAACACACATATATGCCAACAAGGTCACAATTGTAGAGATATTGTTGAAATACAAACTAAGGAAAGTAAGTGGGAATCACTACATACTGTACATGAAAATCTTATGTTCTCCATCAATCCACTGAGCATCTTTTAACAGAGCTGGTGTTCTACGGTATAAAAAATTAATTATGTGTGATTGTAAGACCTTAATCTAATACTGTATTGGATCCTGAAATGTCCTCTCTCCATGAATGAGATTTTGGCAACAAATATTATCAAAACTGGCATGCTTCCAATGTTTTTAAATATTGCATCAAACTCATGATATGTTAGTTTGCAAAACAGGATTAACATTTCACACTACACATATTATTATACATGTAGTACTTAGTTTACTTTTCTGCATTGGAAAAGTCAGTCAAAAAATAAGCATACATGTAGCAAGAAGTACTCCATAAATTAGCAATATATGTAAATGCATGTACACATAGTAGTAACTGTTGTTAAAGTTACAATACAATAGAAAAAGAATGACAATAATAACTTACATTTGCCAAGGGCACTGTCAACCTCACTATAGTCCTTTTGGATCAAAAGAGATGAAACAAATGTGGATTACCAACATTTCATGTCTCCCATGTGTCTTGCACATTTCATGAGTCACTGTCACAAAACATCAGTAAACTGGTCCTCCTTATTGTCAGCTCGACGGAACTTCTTGCACTTTTTGTGGTTCTTGTGGGAGTGGTACGCGTGCGTCTTGGTCAGCATGTCCGCCACATCTTCCGTCTCCTCGTCAAACTCCATGGTAAGCTCTGCGATCAGGCTCCGCCGCGCCTGTCCTGGCGACACGTCGACTCCGAACGTGGGGTTGTTCACGACCTGGTCCGTGCCGTTCTTCCAGGTGATGGGGTACCCGCAGATCTCTGTGTTGGTTTTGACGGTGGGATTGGGGTGGTCGTTCTCGGCCGGGACGATGAGCTGCTGCTCTATATGTCTTTGCTGCCTGTCCAGGCACATCACCACACCCATCACGATTGCGGCGATCAGAACGACAACCACACCAAGCGCAATGAACGTCAGCTGGGTCGCGGTCAGACTTGTCTCATGTTTACCGTGATTGGTCACCTTGGAGAGGTCTGCATGAGCAGTGTGGTTTACCTTGCTGTCTGTTGTCACTGGTTCGACATAGGCTTTGACAGTTTTCTGGTCATCCGCCCAGGGATTGCTGATGTAGTAATCACCGGTGTAGACACTTTTGGTGGCTGTTGACAACCTTTGAGTTGGGATGACTGCAGCAGATGCTGTTGTATCCACTCGTGGTGTGCTGGCAATGCTAGTTGGCTGCGTTGTTGTGGTAGAAGTATGTTCAGTGCCTATTGGAGCAAGGGTGGATGTCCTGCATACCAAGGCAGACTGTTTGAGTGAAGCGCAGCTCCCGTCCCCTGTGTGATTCGGGTGATTGACAGGTGACACGGGTTCTGGCTGTCGTGTCCTGCAGCCACTCCCACAGCCCCTGCAGTTCACAGTCACATCGCCAGGGGTTGCTGTTGAGGTTCAGGCTTCGTATCTGTAGCAGTGGCAGGATCACGTCCTCGTCCAAGGTCTCTAGGCTGTTATTGTATAGGGACAGGGATTCCAATGCTACAAGACCAACAAAAGACACAGCCCCAATCCACTCCATTGTCTGATTTGACAAGTCTAGGGCTTCGAGTGAATACAAATTCCTGAAGGCAGTTGTATTGAGTCCTGTGAACTGGTTACGATGAAGGCTTAAAGTTCTCAGACTCGGGAGGGCATTGAATGGATCTGTTGGTAAGTCCTTCAGTTTGTTTCCTCCAAGGAACAAGTAGGTAAGTTGCTGCAGCATGGCAAAGGCATTGTTCTCAAGAACTTCTATCTCGTTGTCGGCAAGTTGAAGAAGATAGAGGTTTTTGGTTTCTGCGAAGGATGCAGTTGGCACTGTGGTCAACTTATTCTCATTTAGATAAAGATGTTGCAAGTTCTCTAGTCCAACAAATGCTTCAGTTGATATACTTGCAATGGAGTTTTCCTTAAGGTGCAAGTCAAGCAAATTCTTCAGTCCTCGAAAGGCAAACTTTTCCAGATTGCTTATGTTGTTGTTATTCAGGTGCAATGTCTTCAGACTAAACATTCTAATGAACAGGCCACTTGGAAGAGTCTGAATATTGTTATCGTCTAAATCCAAAAGTTGCAGCGCGCTGAAACCTTGGAAGAGCTTACTAGCAATCTGACTGATGTTGTTATCCGGAAGGTTTAGGTACCTCAGTTTTTTCAACCCCACAAAAGCATCCTCCTCGAGAACATGTATGTTACTGACAGCCAGCGATAGTCGTACTAGGTTGGTCAGGTTGGCGAATGTGTTTGAACGAATCACGGTGAAATTGTTTCCTTGAAGGTACAGGCTCTTTGTGGAGGGCTGTATCTCTACAGGTACAGCTTTCAGGTTACGGTGGTTACAGTATACTGTTCCTCGTTTGCAAACACAAATGCTTGGACAACCTTTCTTTTGGCCTTTGATGTTTGTTGCCATCAAAAACAGAACAAGGAACACACATAGCTTCATAGGTGCCGCCATCAGGAATCTGAAAAATATTATGAAAAATAGAATTAAGTTTTGAAATGAGTTTTGTGGCTGTTGAATGAAGATTATGAGACGTATGTACACAGGTCTGTAGAACAACTCTTATCATGAACTGTCATTTCCGTATGGGAGACTCTGAAATCAAAGGCAAGAGGAAATGTTTTAGAGTGAATCTAGTGGTGTTAACAGAAATTAAGGCAGACCACCCATGATTCTCTGTTCCGTAATCTCTTTCAATTGCTTCAAAAGTACAAAATGTAGGTGAATGAAAATAAATATACTTCTATTGCATGCAGGCATATATAAAAAAAAAAAGAAATTTACTTGTAGATAATTCCAAGACAAAAATTCTTTTCAATTTCTTTTAAGAAGAAAGACACACTTTTCAGCATTTCATGCTTAATATTAATAATGATTCCATTTCTACCGGGCCGAAAATCAAATTGATTCAGCATTCAGGAATAATTGAATACAGTCATACATTCTGAAGACACCAACATTCTTAATATGTGTACAATGTATATTAAGCAATCTAAATATACAACTGTAAGGAAAGTCAACTGTCTTTACTTAGACTGATTAAGCCTTATGTTTTCTCATTAAAATATCCTGTATCCTATGGTGAGTGTCCATAGGTCTGCCAAACCAAATGCAAATAACTGGCACAGTGACAGAAGTCTTATGAATCAGCAATTCAAAATTTCATGCAGATTCCATCTGCTTTTAGATGTGAAAAAAGGGCAATGCTTGTGCTTTAACATGAAAGTGCTAGTCAACCAAATAACAGTCAAATCAATGACATTACCTGAACAAAAGGCTGTTCCACAAAGAAGTTCTTTATGAATGATCTAGTGGGTAGAGTGAACTGCTGCTGGATGCTGTATAAAGTGGGTGTCTGTTAGGTGTCAAGCTGGTTAAGAACAAGCTGCGAATTTCCTGTGCTTCTAGGGGCAACTCCCTTACTTCCTGTAGACTGTACATCACGTGATCAGGGTGGGCCAATCACCTCATAGTGAGGGAAAACGAGACTGCGCAAACTTTCTAAATGTAGTAAGGCCACAGCAAGTAATTTTTATGGATGACATCAGCGCATGCATTTATTTTCGCCTGATTTTTTGGGGAAAAAAAGAGATTTTGTTACCCTCTGACGTAGGTCAAGAAGCCAAATGGGTTATATGTCATAAATGTCTATCACCCAGTTCTCTCTCAAAATCCCCTAAATGCCCATTTTTCAAAGTTGTTTCAATGACTTGAGGCACAATTACTCGCCTTTAATGGCAAATGTTGACAGTCTTATTATGTTTATAAGGTGTTCCATGGCATATGAATATCCAGCGTATACAATGTAGTAGCTGGCCATGATGGTACGACAAGCTGTTTTATTTTACAATTTTTCAAGTTAATGTATACATATTAAGAAGGACAGGTAATACTGTTGAATACAGGAATGAAATACCTGTTTGTTGTGATATTGTGTTTTTTCACCTCAATTGTTGTTTATGATCTCAAAATTTGAAAATGTAGTAAACTTGTTTTTTTTCCTTGCCTGTTTTTTTTTGCTCTATGATAGAATCTATCGCATTAACTTGGAGTCTGTGGAGGATATCATCCATAAAATTTACTTAATGTGGCCTAAGTCTGTCTAATAAGATGATAGGCAATATCTTTAAGTGTGGCATACAGATTGTCATTGTATGTATGAAATTGGTGGTTTAGCCTCAGAGCTATAGGCATTGTTGTTGCCGGCATATTTTTATCGTCAGCATTTTTAACCCCTATTGAAATAAGCTGAAAGTCAAAAAAAAGTTTTGTGCAAGCAAAAGGGCTGTGATAAAGCATTGACCAAGGGACTTAGAGTTGTACAAAGTGGTGTTTGCATGCGTGATATGTGGAGGAAGTAAGTCCCAACCAGATGAGGGACTGGTGTTATCAGGGGAAACAGGTGACAGGCTGTTTCCTCTTCTCAGGGAAGTGCTGGCCTGGGAATTGGGACATCCCCAACACTAGGGATTACCAACATTTATAACTGCCAAACAGGCAACACCAGCTGAAGGATCAGGATTATGTTATCAAATAACCACTTTCTTCAGAGAAATGAACATTTAAGACACAAAAGTTTTCAAGTATGAAGATCATTTAGGCAAATGAGGTAGTTCTTTGCAAGATCCTAGTTGATGTAAATTAAAGAACAAACAGGATTGATTTTAAGACTAAAGCTAAAATTTGATTTATCCATCAGAATAAAACTCCTAGTCTATAAGTTTGAAAACCGTACACAATTATAATAACATGAGTGTCTATCTAGACTTAAGATCTGTCTAATGTTTCTATTTACATTACCGGACTGTTAGACTTTTGGAATGGAGGCAGTGGCTCATGAATAGTCCCATGTTTTTAATGATTAAGATCTTAGCAGAAATATTGTAATATGTTACAGAATTGTGTTTCCATTGTAGGAAGAGCTGCCCATGTGGATGATAATGTCACCCAGTTTGAGTTGGCAGCAGCCCTGACGTTTAACGACTGTTTCTCCGACCCTTGTGAGAATGGAGGGGACTGCAGGAGCATCAGTGCTGGCTATGTGTGTGACTGTGTGCCAGGGTATACAGGTAAGACACTTTAAAAAAAAAAAGGTTCTCCCATAGCCATTTTGTGCTCATATAGAGGCAGCAGGTCGTTAATCCACTGTGTTTAGGCACGGTATTGAAAGGCATAGCCCATCCCTCTCCTTCCACTGCCTTTTAGTTCCCCAACTGAAGTCAGGTACACATTTTACACCTGGGTGTACACCTTTATTAAGCATACAGCATCTAGCCATTAATGCCAGGGTTGTAACCTGTGACCTCTTAATCTGGATCAACACTGGATCAACGCTACTGGATCAACTGAATCAACACCGGATCAACACTGGATCAATATTGGATCAACCAAATCAACACTGGATCAACCGGACCAACACTGGATCTACCTGATTCAACACTTGATTGATTGGATTGATTTGATTTGATTGATTGATTGATTGATTGATTGATTGATTGATTGATTGATGTGTACCCAATAAGTGTGCACCTTTTCTTCATCCTTCCCCAGGTGTGAACTGTGAGGTAGAGATTGACGAGTGTCTATCGTCCCCTTGTCTGAACAATGCCACCTGCACAGACCAGCTCAACATGTTCACCTGTGCCTGCACACCTGGATTTGCAGGTACATGTATGAGATATGTATTTCTTGCTGACTGTCACAGAATATTACTTCTATATTTCTTTTGTCATATTTTGGTACAGACAAGAGACAGTAAAATGGCTGCAGAAAGAAACTTTCTTACCTCCTCTTCAACTTGAATGTAAAAGGGACACCGTGCTGTGTGTTTCAGGACCCACCTGTGGTGAGAACATTGACGAGTGCCTGTCATCACCCTGTCAGTACAACGGCACCTGTGTGGACAAGACTAACAGCTACCAGTGCATCTGCGCCAAGGGATATACAGGTGAGACTACTTGATGTCAGCAGTGACTGTCTCAAAGTTTTTTTGGGGGGTCCGTGTAATTCTGTTGTGGTTTGAAACATTGTGGAAACATGCATGGTGCATTTGAACAATATTAGCATTCATGTACGTGTACATTTTTGTCACAATTCCACACAAATCTGTATAAATATCAACAGAAATTCTGTACTAGTCCTTTTTTCTTCCGAATAGAAAAGAAATTGTGTTTTAATGTCTGTCCAAGGTAAACTTTAAAGTGTTCCTTTTTGCAGTTTAGCTAGAATGTATGCTTGCATGTTAACCTCAGTAGCAAAGAGACACTCAAACAACTCACTTTGTCTCCACAGGACCAAACTGTGAAACAGAGGTGAATGAATGTTACTCTAGCCCATGCATGAATGGGGGCATCTGCTCCGACCTGATTGGTCGTTTCTCCTGCTCCTGTGCACTCGGTTACTATGGAGACAGATGTCAGTTGGATATTGATGAGTGTTCCAGTCAACCCTGTTTCAACAACGGAACATGTGTTGATGCAGTCAACTCCTTTAGGTGAGTTTGTTGCCTGCAATACTGTTGATGGCTACTAGGGGGCTCTTGTACACTATTAAAATTGGCACTGACTTTGTAAAGTTGTACATTGTCAACTTTCAGACCTTTCGTACTGTGGGAAGGATCACTTTTCAGTGCTGTCAATTTGTACATAGAGTGCAATTTGCATAAAAATGTAGTGTAAATTTGTCAGATTAGGAGATATGTTTGTGTGTGAAATGTTCTTTAAATGTTATTTCTCTCTCAGCTGCCAGTGCCCTGTTGGATACACCTCTGATTTGTGTGAGATCGATGTTGATGAATGCGAGTCCGATCCCTGTCAGAATGGTGCCACCTGCCTGGACCAGGTGGGCAGCTACACCTGTGTGTGTGCACCTGCTTTCTCAGGTGTCAACTGTGAAACAGGTGAGCTGTTAAGCATAGCCATGTATAAGGTACATGTACATGACTGTAGTCACTCAGAGAAGTAAGTTTCATTGCTGTTCAAAATGTTGACTGTTCTGAAGTGACACCCACCTCAGCTAGTCCGAGTGTTCTAACATTGATGAGGACACTCACAGATTTGGTGTTGCCAAAGTGCCAAGAACTGCATATTTGCCACTAAGAACCATAAATTGTGATGATGATAGCCCTCTCTTGATGATGATGATAATGATGAATGGTTTTAACTAATAATACAGACTTTTTATAACTGCCTGAATTTTCCTTGCAGAGGTGCCATCAGATTTTAACCTTGAGTTTGAGAGCTCTGGGACCGTTGATTACGTGATGATTGACAGCATTCCATCACTGAAGGCACTGACTTGTGCCTTCTGGATGCGTAGCACTGACAAACAGAACTACGGGACTCCGCTATCTTATGCAACAAGCTCAGAGGACAACACATTTGTACTGACTGACTACAATGGGTTAGTCATTTTTGCTGTTGTACAATTCACATTTAAAGGTAAAGGTAGTCTAGTAGAAGAAGGGAAAGCAGTTCTTCTGTAACAAATTTGGTGGGATTCTGTGCCATTAACAATAGTGTGTTCGGCTCAGGACCAAGAGGTCGCAGGTTTTGAACATAATTACAAAACTGATGCGTTATGCCTAAAAAAAAGGTGGTTTATGGGTTATGTGAAACAAACAAACAAAAATTTGCTTGTTTACAGTTTTGTGCTGTACATCAGAGGGAATGGGAAAGTGACAGACGTGACAGCTAACGACGGCCGCTGGCACCACATCTGTGTGACGTGGACGTCAGAGGGAGGGGTGTGGAGGATCTACAAAAACGGCATCCAAGAGGATGAGGGACAGGGACTGGGAACGGACAGTGTTATACCTGGTGGGTTCAATGGGACTTCTCATTTCAATATTGGTCCAAGCATTTCTTCAATGTTTTGTATGAACTTGCAAGCACAGATGATCATGATTAGTTGATTTATTTATTTAAAATAATCATTTGTTGATCAATTGATTGAATCTTTGAAAATGACCTTATTTGATTAAGGCTTAATAGAAAAACCAGCCCTCAAGCTATGTGATTTCAAACCGGAAGTCCTGCTGCAGTACCTTTGCAATCTACTAGGGGGGGCTTAATCTGATCATTCCTTCATTTAGCCAATACTTAGGCCTAGGAAAATAAATGTTGTGTTTCCTGTTTCCCGACCGACCCTAAAAAAAACCGCCGACCCTAGCCTTATTTTTGTGTGGACCCCTGCGCTGCATATTGCTGAACCAAAACATTTGCACGACGCTACCGAGAGAATCGCTGTCATTGGTGGAACATCGGGCGCCCCGCTAGCGTTTTGAAGCCGTGTAAACAACGCTTATTGTCTGATTTGTTTGTAAAACAAAGCCCTCGACCCCGAAAATAAGTTTAACAAATAAGCCGATACGTTTACGAAACCGTAGAAAATTCGCTATCGACGTAAAGCACATGGTGGCCGCAAGTCCTGAATCTCAAAATCGGCAACGCGGCAGAAAAATGCCTGGTCCATTTTAGCGATTTTTACCATAAAAATAACGTATGTGGTTTATTTTCCCTCTGGTATTAGTTTTTAGGTCCCGAAACCCTTTAAAAAAGTAGAAATTTGCCGGCAAATAGGACGGCCGAGGTGGGGAGGGCGCCTGCATTTAGAGCTGCGTGACCCGTAAAGTCAAAGGTCATAGGGCACGCGTATTGAGCAATCATCGTAAATTGCGCCGATTTAGCTAATTTTAGGGCGTTTAAAATTGATACAATCACATTATCGATTTTTAGGAAAACATTGGGATAGAAACCAATCAAAATTTTGCGCTGAATAATATTTTTTTCTTCAGATTTTTTTCTTCGGAAGTTTTTTTCGTCAGAAGTTTTTTCCTCAAAAAGTTTTTTTTTTCTTCAAAAAGTTTTTCTTCTTCGAAAGTTTTTTTCTTCAAAAATTTTTTTTTCTTCAGGCGTTTTTTCCTTCAGAAGTTTTTCTTCTTCTGAATCCACTAACTTTGACCAGACTAGACAATGTACCATACCAACCAATTATTATGTTGAAATATTTGTACTTAATTGGGCTTGATTTTCTATCTCTTAAGTTAGACTAGATTTTCAAACTCAAGTTGCAGGAGAAGGCTACAAACTGCATTTCAGAATGGTACGTATTAAAATGCAACAGCTTCTCCTGCGCGCGGCGTAGGGCGACAAAGTTGGAGACCCCTGAAATATAATATTGCACAATTGATTTTTCAACTTGTTCTACTTAAATAAACACAGCAATCAGCAAAGTCTAAAAAAAAATAAAAAATAAAATAAGATAATCCCTACCTACCGACCCTAATTTTTTCAGGACCGAAACAGGAAACACAACATTTTTTTTCCTTGGCCTTACCAACACATTGAACTCCATGAAGATCCATCCACAACTTCTTGTGTTATGGTTAGTAGAATATTCATCAATCAGTGACTGTTTTGAAAGGTAGCAAACAGTCGTACCTACATGTACATATTTTTGACGTCCACTGTATGTCTTGATCACGGAGGGACCTTGTCTCGTGAGAACAGGAGACTACATGTAGATTGAGATTTGTGTAGATCTTCTGGCCTCCCCCTCCTCCTTATGGAGCAGGGGTAAGTAAGACTTGGGCAGCTCCCGACCCTCATTACGAGATATGCTGTTAACAACTTTTTTAAACAGACACACATAGTCCAAAACATACATGTAACCTCCTCAGTGGAGGTAATTATCATTGCTGTCTGTCTTATGTGGCTTGTTTTCATTCAAATGTACAAAATGCTGTTGCCACTCTTTACGACTAGATATTAGCCAAATCATAGACCTTATCATTGCTTTCTTCACTTTCCCACTACAGTTACTACGGGAAGAAGAAAGGAGTGTTTGCTATCATTTGTAGTCGCCTTTGCTGTACAAAATGTTTTACAGTCATGACTGTAACCTCCGTAACCATTGTTTGTTACTTTCAATGTTAGTAGTAAACTTTACTTGGTATAAGAAAGTTGCCCAGTTTGAAATGTTCGTACTTACAGCGTATGCTCCCTTGCTCCTAAAAGATGAAGCTAAAAACTGGAGATATTTTTGTGATATTTCTTTGTAGGAGGAGGTGCTTTTGTCCTAGGACAAGAACAGGACTCACGGGGAGGAGACTTCAACGCCCGCGAGTCCTTCATCGGTAACATGACCCAGCTACAGCTGTGGGACTACATCCTGTCAGACGACGACATCCTCGCCTTGGCAAGGACCTGTCAGAAGAACGTGGGAAATGTGCGGGCGTGGCCGGACTTCCTGCCGGGAATTGTGGGACGAGTGAATAAGTCGCCAACTTATATCTGCAAAGGTAGGTTTATCTTGAACTTTTATTGCCTTGCAAGATATACATTTTCCCCTATGTTTGTGACTGAATGATGTTACTGCAGTTGACAAAGCTTTCTGTACACTTGAAAATATGGATTTGTTACTGACAAAAGGTGGTGGATTCTACCTGAAACGTCTGACTGTTTCACTAAATCATATCCAGTAACTGTTGTTGGTGTATCTATGTTACCAGGATGTCTAACCTTCACTGACATATGGATTTGATATTGTAATTAAGGGTTAATGACCCGCCCCAAGGTGAATATGGTGTGATAAGGCCTTGGCAGTTGCTATAACCACCGAATAAAGCCACCAAGTGAGCGCAGCGAACGAGGTGGCTTTATGTGGTGGTTATAGCAACTGACAAGGCTTTATCACACCATATTCACAGAGAGAAGGGAGGGCCATTAACGCTATTATCATATAGCCTGTCAAAAATGACACAGTAAAGAGTGACACATTCCTGTACAACACATACATAACTTAAATTATGTAACAAACCCTTACAGTCACTCCCCTATCTTCCCGTCTGCTAGCCAGTGTACCTGTGCATCTTTCCCCTACTCCAAGGACCCACATATTGAGTCTAAATTGGCGTCAGTCAGTTCTTCAAAGAAAAATTCTGACATCCCGTTGTCCATTGTATGCCCCTACAGTGTGATCGTTTTACCTGTTCCACCGGGTTCATATGAGTTTGCCGGAACATCGCAAGGGGTCATGTTCTATCTGGGTCATCAGCAGGGAACATGTATTCCTTTGGAACATAACTTAAGTTATTTTTGGATTTTTTAGAACACAGCGGTATTCTATATGGGTCACCTGAGGTCATATGCGGGTGATTATTGGGTTGTTTAATGTATGGATTGGGATGAATAAATACCAGGTTTTGACTCTATTTGTGACATTACAGCGTCATAAGGAATGTGGCATGGAGCCTTCTGATTGGTCAATGTCACCCGGCTATATGATAAGGAAAATTAGACAACTAGTATTCAATTAAATCACTAGTATTCATTGTTTTATTGTTTTTCTGGGGCATTGCTTAATCTTTCATTTGGTAAAGTTGAGAATCTACATAATTATATAGCATTGCTGTTAGTTAGTCAGTAATCCTTACCACAGCAAAGTTATGTGGAATGTACTGTTAAAAACAGTGATATTCTCTCCTGCTATTTCTGGTTACTGGAATATGAGCAATTTTTGTGTAATTTGGTTGCTGAAGTTTAATGTTTCTCAAACACTTCCTCTAGTATAACATGTACCATACACTACAGAACAACTGTAACCTAAACAATGTACACTGTACATGTACTCTCTTTCTTTGTTACACATTCGACATCAAGTTATTATATTAATACTGAGAATACCGGTATTCTACATTTGTATATTAAATTATCTCACTAGGACTATTTCAGCTTTCAACACTGCAGTTACACAACAGACTACTGTTAGTCACATACATTGTACATGTATAATTGAGGCAGTACATCAGTTATGAGGTCACATTATTTACAATACAAGAAGGTTAGTCTAGGCAAAATGTGATCTTATTCTGGAGAAAGAATTATTCACAACATATTGCCATTTGTCCCTTCCATATTTCTGCAAAATTATTAAAATAATACAAAGTGGATAATCATGAGATACCCATTTTGAGGTACTTTCAGCATAATAGTCGCAAAGTTATGGTTATCAATAATCAAGCAGATTATACATGTAAGTTCTTTTTTTTTTTTGCCATGTCACCTATATTGTACTAGGTGTTCCCAAACGTTTCTAATGTAACATTATATGTCACCAAGTTGCCGTTATCCCAGGCATATAACCTCTTATCCTTAGGATTGTAGTCCACCATGGAAGTAGCACCGTACTTGGAGACAAAGGGTATGTTCAGGCTCTTACTTTTGCCAGTGTCTGTGTCAAAGGCATAGCTGATGATGTCTTGCTTGATGTCAGATCTAGTGGTGTACAGTACTCCACAGATCATGAAGGCATTGCCAGCATCAGTCTTCAGCTGATCTGTGGTCCACGTCTGCGTAAAGGAGAGGTTGTCAGGGTCCATCTTGCTCACCACAAGTTTCCCATGGTTCTCTTGCGCAGCATAGATAGCCCACAAGCCTTTCTCATCAACGGCAAAGTCCACCAGAGTTGCCCCTCCCCATTGGTAGTGGTATGGTCCGATGTTGTTGAGTTTTCTCTCAGCCATGACTTCTTCCTGCATGAAGTCGTACTTGACGATCTTGTTACGGGAATGGTAGAACAGCGCGCCCTTGTACACGACGTGTCCCGTCCCCCACCAGTTATACGGGAGGTTGTACGTCTCGGCCTCTTTCTTGGCTTGAAAGTTCTCCATGTCACTGTACTCCAGTATAACATTACTGTACCAGTCCTCCATCAGCCAGATACTGTTCACGTCCGCTTTACAGGCGAGAGGGTCCTTCATCCAGGAGCCGTACAGGGTGGAGGTTGTCTGGTGAGTGGTGGGGCCGGACACGTGGGTCAGGTTACCACACTGATCAGTGATGGCCACTGTCGTATCTGTGAGGAAAGACAGAGAAGGTGATGGATCAATCTCTGTAGTGACAGTCACCCTATCCATTCTGTAGTCAATCAATCTGTCAGTGCGCTTGTAAACCTAGACAGTAACTGGCTTTTTAGCAGCAGCTTTTCCTTCAAAATTTGTCACTCCTTCCATATTGATCAATGTAGCAATAACCACCTGTTCAATCAAGGACTTGAGTTTAAGAATACAATACTTAATTATTATACTTCATACTCTCCATACATTTTTATCGTGTAAGGCTTAATAAGAATATGTTTCTTAAACAAAACTTTATTTTCTCTTGAGGGAAGGCAAATTTTGTCTGGCAGTGTTCCAGTAGAAGGCTAAGCCAGGTCTGCTGTTAGTCTTTACAGTGTACCTTTTGATAACTTTAAGCACCTGTCACAAGAACCCAGAACAGTCGGCTGGCATCCGGCCCAAAACACTGCAAAACTTCATCACTAATAACAGAAGTAGTCTGTACATAGAACATTCAATATAAGTTCTCGACCTAACAAAGAAACAAGGGGCACAACTCTTATACTAAGTTATACATTGTAGTCTCATCATGAAAGTTCTTCTGTGTTCAGTCTCTGTAGTAATCAAGGATTAGTCTTATTGCTGAAAAAACTTTTTGATTAGCAAAATAGCAATGTGCATACCAAGTTGTTATCAACCTTTAGCAAGCTCACATCACTTTGAATTGCACATACCTCTGATATTTTTTTGAAATAAAGATATTTCAGTGTTCAGCAGACATGTGGACAGTAGAGAGTTTATTATGGCATTAATCCAAGAACTGCCTTGTTAGAATGAAAACACACTAACGGATCCAACATCCATGGATTTCATGCGGTTTTACTTTTCAGGACCCTGATGAACTCAATCACAGGGAAAAGTGCCATGAGAAATTGCCTGGGTAACACTGATCTTAGTTACCCAGCACAGGTTGAGGAGAGTTGGCTGGTACTAAACAGGTTTGGCTCCAGAACTGGCCTCTGTTACCCCTACAGGAAGGATGTCCTAATTCTCTGTGACAATTTCCCCCTCCTTGGCAGCTGTCTTGAATATCCACATAGTCATCAAAGGATCTGAACTAAAGCTTTGCTTAAAGTTACTACCTTTATCTCTGAGCTTGCACAGACAGACACTGGAGATAAAAGACTCCAGAAAACACCAGTCAAACTCAAAGCAACTCAGGGCATTGCCCATGTTCATGACATACGTACATGCATGACGGGTCTGAAAGTTCTTCGCCTCACCCCAAAGAATACAACTCGATAAATGTAAAACTTAAAAGTAACTAGAAAGGCCAATATTTGCTTTGGAGCAAATACAGCGATGGGTTCACCACATTTTACGACATGACAGGGAAAGAATGAGAAACACAAGGGAAAACAATGATTTACATTGATATAACTATAATATGAAGTAACATACAACTAAAACAACAGTTGGATAGCTATTCCCTACTTTATTGGTTAGGATTTTTAATTGCATAATGCAAACTGTTGATTTTCAAAATAAATAAAAAAACGTTCATGCCCCGCATTCCAATGCTGGAGCAGAAAAGCTTGAAATACCTACCAAAACACTTGAATAAAGACATACTGTCAGTATGGAAATGCTCTGTGCAGGTGTTAATCAAGTTAAATCCCAACAGCCAATCAGCAAGAAATGCTCTGTGCAGGTGGAAATGCTCTGTGCGGGTGTTAATCAAGTTAAATCCCAACAGCCAATCAGCAAGAAGTATAGAGGAAAGCTGCATGCCTATTGGTTGATGCCCTGCATTCCATTGTGATGACTCATGCCCAGACGTGGTAAACACGGCACACTAACACAGTAATACATTTGCTATAACACAGCCAAAAAACTCAAATAAAACCATTCTAAAAGCCTGTATCACAAAAATTTAAAAAACGCCTAGGGGTATTTGCCCACTGTACCTCCATACCAAATTTCAGGACCTTAGGCCCTAAAATGAAGAAGCTGAATCCATTTAAAAAATGGCAGGAGAAGAAGAAGAAGAAGAAGAAGGAGGAGAAGAAACATCAGAAAAAGCAATATGGGTTCACCACCACTTCGTGGTGTGGTGAACCCATAATGATCATAATTGATGTTACTTTAGAAAGACATTCTTGAAAGTCATCGTCTTCAATGCCATGCCCAAGGCTAATTGCAAACTACAAAATAGTAACCTACATGACATTGAACTAACACACAGTGAACAAGGGGTCTAATCTGCTGCAAATAAGATTTTATGGGATACATCTTTTCTGTAATTGGATTTAACATTTTATCACCACTCAAAGCTTCAACATGTGAAACACAGTAGACGTATGGAGAGTGGACATTTTAAACTTAAAGGTCTTTTAATTCACAGGCTGGCATTACGTCATTACCAGACTCCACTCAATTGTCTGCTTACAATACAAAAATTGGAAAACAAATGCACATTTGGTTTGATCATGTTTTGTTGACATCTGCTGCAACTGGACCAAAATATGTATATAAGTGTGTATAAGAAAAGACTGTAACTGTCTGTGGTGAGATATGGTTATATACAGGATAACTGAGAGCATTCGTTTAAGTCGCGACTTTTTAACTTTTATATAACATGCTTCCTAGTGTACTACACATGTAACTGGACTTTTTCACCTGCACCAGACCACTAAGTGAAATAAATGACCTTCTATATTGGTTAACCAACCACTAAGTGAAATAAACGACTTTCTATATTGGTTTAATGGCAAATTGGGTATAATCAGCATGATGTCCTTTAGAGTCTGATTGGCAACATGTTTGTAGGCTTGCTGAGGAAACCTTTTTTCTTCCATCTTGACTGTCCCCACATGTGGAAGATAGCTTCCACGGACTTATTTATATTTTAATTAAATGGTCGTAAAAGGGAAAACTGCTGTTAGGGACTTTATCTACAAATGGTTTCTTGTAGGAAAGTGGCATCATAAAGCATGTACAAGTCTAAAACACACTTTCCTTCCAATGTATCATTAATGTATTGCAGACTATAACAAATTGTACATCCTATGGTCCCATTTTTCAAAACCAGCACATACATGTAGCAAGGACTTGTAACATAGTTACTCACAGTGAAGATTTGATGATGAAGTAATCAGATTTAGAAAAATGTTTTTTGAGTTTACATATTACATGTACGGTACATTGTAGAATGTTGGTTGCTATATTGACAATATGAGCAAAACCACATCAGTGGTCTATATAGCTCTGAAAGGTTTTTTAAAAGATTTTTTTCCGGAAGGTGATTACATTCTTCCTGAACACTGCTTATTTGTAGGCGAAGGACCCAACGACTGTTAGCATTTGGCGTTTTATTGGAGAAATGTTCGTCTTTGGTGGTCACCCAGCAGGAAACATCATCCCAGAGAGAAAGCTGACCAGACTATATGATTCATACTCATTAGACAACATGGAAAAAAACTTAAAGTATATTAATTAAGAACTAGTGTGGTCAGAGGTAAGTAGTCAGAGAAAATGAACACGCATGTATATGCATAAAAGATGCAGAAAATAGATATGAGGAAAGACGTCTATGGCTTAAAGAAACAAGCAGAAAATAGAATAAGACAAGAAGCATACCTTGCATTTTCTGGATGTCAGACTGTTTTCTTAGAAATGCTAGTCATTTCACTCCTGGCTGAAAGCCAGTCCAAACCTCACTGTAGGCATTTTTCAGAGGTTAAAAAGTCTGAGAATACGTACACCACATACATTATATGACCAGATGTATTAACATATCCCTAGTAATCACGATCAACTACTAGTAGACTAAAATGTAGTCGACTAGGTGTGTATTAATAATAAGTAAACTGGAAATAAAATGTGTTCGGACCCTCAGCAGTAACATTCCAGTAAGTATACATAGTCCTGGAACTTAGCTGCTTCTCCTTTCAATGTTTAGGCAACAATGTCACCACCTCCTTGACCCCCGTCATTCCTACATTCCTTCTGCTGTGGCCCATGGTTTTTGCAGAAGAAGTATCTCCTGATGTTTCTTTAAGGAGTCAGGTGAAGGTTTCCTATTTTACTTGAGGAATATAGTTATCAAATAAAGATGTATCGTCTTGTACTTGGTACAATGTATATTCCTAGGTAATTGCTGAGAAAGTCCCAATAAAACCTTAGGAAAAGTTATCAAATGCTGTCTCGAAAAAAAAGATTATTGTCTGCACCAGGCAAAATTCTATTTTAAAAAATGCAACGTTGACAAAATATCCAAAATAGGGTGAGCTATACCTCTTATTATAGTCTGATCCACATAACTAGATTGACTGAAGCGTTAACGTTAACCCAATTGCTAAAAATATCAAAACTTGGTATGAGAACATCTGCCTTCAATAGAAGGGGAGTGTTGTAAGTAGACCTCAGACTAGAGAAATAACACAGAAAGAATTCACTGCTGTTGCCTTTGGAGGCAAGAACTGACTTTTTTGGGGGGGTTGTATGTCTGGTTTGTGGCAGACACTTTTTATATCACCATAACACAGTTAACACCTGCCTAAAGTGTGGGAGAAAATATTTCTCCTGAAGTCACTGAAAGTTCAGTCATATGACCTACTAAATAGCTGTGTTTCTTTCTACTGAAAAATGTTGAAAGTAACCCTTTGTAACTTCCGAATTCTTCTTGATTTCAAACAAGCAATGCCCTGTCATATGGGATGACAAAAATGATGGACGATGATGTACAAAATGACTGTGTCATGAATCATGATGCCTGAATTCTTTTCTAAATGTTTTTCATCCTTCACAAATTACTGCGTGCTTCCAACAGAAGCCTGACACGTCTTCCCCCCACCTGGTCTTGATTCAAACCACATGAATCAAGTCATTCCTCCTTTTTCTGTGACCGCCGAACTGGGCCAAGGCGCAGAGTTTAGGCCCTTAAACTTAATGTTCTTTATAACTAGCCTTAAAATTCCACAATGTCATAATGGCAAGGTATCAACACTTGAATGTGTAGTACCTGTCCAGTACATTTTGTATAGAGTACAGAGTAGTTTTTGCCTTGAAGTTCTTATATTTCTTTTGTATTAAAATTCCTGCAAAGTTTTGCAAAATGATCTATTAAATTATGTTATCTGAACACAACCCTGTGAGGATGCTAATGTGGGTATATAAATATGGCACAAATGCGTCAGTAATGTCCTGAAAATGGCCATGGGGGCCAAATTCTGGGTCAAGTTGACTTTCCAGGTTAGAGGACTCAGGCTGTGAGTAACATCCTGGTCAACCTTGGAGCAAGGTCGCTATCTCCATAGGGCGATAAGGATTTACATGTTGTGAGCTAGGGGAGCCCAGGCCCTGGGCATCTGTTAGTTCACAAGATCACAACTTCCAATAGTTAAAGACAGCTCGTGTGACCAACAGTACAGACTGTATCTTAAACCCCAGGGGAAACAGATAAACCTGTCCACAAGTCTGATTGTAAAAACAAATGTACAGGGCTAAAGAAAATGTGATACTCTGCTAAATGATACTAAAGAATGTTAAATTTGCTGCAGGATGTCAGTTCCAACTAGTTGTCTTCTGGCTTGAGACACTGTCCACATGCAGATGGAATGTGTGGTTTTGATAATAATCATGTAAACTGATCGTTAGGGACCCAGTCTCCAATGGTTTTCCAATTGGCAATTATGATAATCCATACACATGTAACACTAGCTTTGCCTTGTAAAAGATTTTGAGCCTTTAGATTAAACCATTGATGACTTAATGTCATAAAATGAACCCATTGATGACTTCTTAATGTCAAAGGGCTTGTTCAACCATTGTTGCCAAATTGTGCATTGGCAGAGCTCAAACTTTTGGTACTGTAGTCAAAACTATCCAGCTGCTCCAGACTTTGTCATGGGGTGGTCATAGTTAACTTCATTATATGCCCTGTGGGTGGGTGTAGGAAAGTTTTTATCTTACATATTCCTTCTGTTTTAAACATGATTAACAAAAGGAAAGACCCAGAACAACTCTGTGTTTACTGTCTTTTACCAGTGCTATACATTGTACATCATACAAGTTAAGGGTGTCAAAACTCAAAAATCTTGGAAAAATAACAAATTTTCATATTTCATTTCAAATCAATATAATGAGACAAGTCAGTGTAATAAAGAACTTGCACCTGTTCATCAATGTGAACTTTGTAAGAAAATATGAATACTAGTAAGTCATTGGACAACATATTACAATGTCTAGAACTACAAGTTCCACTGATAATTGTAAAACCACATCTTCATCGCACACTTTATATAATGTACGTAAAGTCTCTTGTGAGGTAGATTAGTCTCTAACTTAGTATATTTGTTAATATAGAAGTAGATGCCATGCATTGTACCTGCTTACAATTGTTGTGCAATTAAGCAAAGCAAGATGTACAATGTTAGACTTTTGGCAACTGTTCTGCAGTATTACTCAGAAGTTTGGTAACAGTGCTCTCACCATCAGCCAACAAGAGTCCGTCTTGCTGGCGGAACAAGGTGTTGACCTTGAGGCGCAGATTGCGGATGGTACGTGACTGGTTGACCAGTGCGTGCTGCAGGTGAGAGTTTGTTTTCTGCATGACCAGCAGCTGTCTCTGCAGTGACTCCACCTTGTGTTTGGCGAAGCCTGCCTCCTGCCCCACCACGATGTCTTGCAGCTGAGTGATCTGTCGACGGTACTCCTTCTCCAGCGTCTTGAAGGCCGTGGACAGGTATGCCACCGTTTCGGACAGCTCGGTCACCCTGGTGTCCAGCTTGGCCCCCATCACGTCCTGGTCTCTGTTTTCCCCGTCCAGCCGCTTGGTCAGCTGCTCCAGAATGTCCATCATGTGGGCCTGCTCGTCCAAGCGTTTGCGGACAAGGTCGGCATCTAGGTCGGACAGCTTTTCCAGGTTGAGGGAAGTACTCGGACGGCGCTCCTCCAGACCCCTTGTTGGTATCGACTTGGTTTTTCTATCAATGAGAACTTCAAGCCGCTTGATAAGGGCACTCTGGAATCTGTTTTCCTGTTCCAGGCGTTTGATGTCCTCAGAGTAGTCCTCCTTGTAGCGCCTCTCCATGGCTCCCAGCGTCGCTCGCTGTCTGACGGTCTGGTCGTGGAGAGCGGAGAAGAAGGACGTTAGGTTGTTGTTCGCGGCACGAAGTTCTCGAATCTCACGTGTGATGTAAGCTGGGCTGGAGCACTTCTGTGTATCTGCCTTAGGAATCATCACTGTGAAGGAACAGTGGTCTCGATCAGCACCCCTCTCTCCATAAAGGAGGTTCCTCCTGTCGTGATCTTTCTTGGCAAAGTCCCCAGCATGAAAACCTAGCATCAGAATGAACAAAACTTGCCCTTGAATGGGATGATGCAGCTTCAGTACAGCCATCGTGCCCTAAATTCAAACAGTGAGGCTAGACCCAGCAGGCAAATGAAGCTCTGCTTTTGGAACATTTCATTCTCTGATTCATAGGGGAGGCGCTAATGCCGTCAGCAACATAACCTAGCTTATCCTTGGGATGTCTGGAGGTCACAGGTGTCAGAGGGTATACCTTTACTGTTAGACATGATAAGGAACTGAACTTGAGAAGGAAGTTTGCTCTGTGTGTCTGTAGGATGAAGAAAACCTTATGGCAGGTGTAGGTGTGCAGATTTCCCCCTGGGAGTAGTGGCAGGGCCCAGAGGGAGAGGGAGAGATGTGTGTCACTCCCACATCTGTTTTCCATGAGTCCGTCTCAGGAGGAAGTTTATGTGCATCTGCACTGGTGAGAACCCGGCCCACAAGTCCTGAATTTCTTCCCATCCAATACAAGCAGACAGACATCTTCTGCCTGTTAACCTGCCTGACACTTTCCACAGAATGCCTTCTCTCCCTAATGTTTTGATTCCTGCAAAGTCCACAGCCTTCCTTTCTCGGGTACTGTTGTCCTGCACAGATCCTCATCTGTGTCATGTAAAAATTTAGAAATAGGGAAAGGCACTACCATAACCCATATTCAGGTTGTTGACCACACATACAACTGTAGGACATGCCCCGTCCACTAAACTTCAATGCTGGGTGTCAAACTTTGCCTGAATTCTTTTATGCAGGCAGACTTTCTTTCTCTTCAAAAGATACTGTCACATAAGTGACAAATACACTCAGGTATGAAGAATATTATCAGGGACATTTAAAATATTGCTAATATTGTCAAAATATCTTTATGAAGGAAGGTACATTTGTGTCAGGAAGAGCATGGAAGCAATTTCCTTATCTCAGAGATAAGCCTATGGTGTTAAAAAGTGAAACTAATAGTCTTTATCAGGCCAAGGGTTTCTAAACTGTGGCAATATTATGATAACCATCTTGACCTTTAAATATCAATTGTCATTTAAAACTGAAGATAAAGCAATCTTTTCCATCTGGTGTCATCTCTGCTTGGTACCAAATATAATATCTATAGTACATTATTACATAATACAGTTTCTTGGTAGACCAAAAATGATATTAAATGTTCAAATTTAAAGCATTAGGCTATACATTGTACCACAATGCACTTGTTGCATTCAAAGATTTGTTCAAAGATAACAGAAGATTTTTCCAAGTCACAATTAAAACATTTCCTTGGTTTTGAAATACATTATGATGTATTTTTTTTTTACATCTATTTTGATTTTCTCAGTCACACAATCAATCTTTCCACTCTACTCCTCCTGTCTCTTTTCTCCTAGAAACATGCTTCACAAAATCAAAGCTGAAATTGGAGTGACAGCATAGATCTAATCCAGGGGAGGGGCACAACAACACTGCCTTCACATCCCAAACCACAAGTGCTTCCGGATGGATTCCCAAACTAAATCTGAAATGGATTTGCGAACCAGCCACAACAGAGCCAGGAGATGTTTTAATTGGACCTGAACACAGTGATCAGCTTCCCTGCCAACACTGGCAACTCCCAAGGTTCTGGGTAAAGTGGGACTGGGGATGGGTTACCAACATGTTGCATAAGGATTGTTTGAACTTTTTCCAACGTTCACCAAAACATTTCTTAACCTTTTTAGTCACACTGACACCAAGGTAAAACAGATGTGACAGCCTCTTGCCAATTTTCCTTAATAAAATTTTCAACCTTTTAACCAAGGTCCCAGCGGGAAAAATCAGGTGGCATGAAGGTCAAAGATGATTGAAAACTAAAGGGAGATTGTTAACTCGATCTGACAATAAAAATGGCAGTTGAGAATGTGGGTGGGTTTTTAGTTTAAAGCCCCATATGTCCAACTCTGCTTTACTGTGGGAGAATTTGTGGACATGCTTGTAATGCTCAGTCTGGTAGTGATCTCGTTTTGTAACCCCGCTGGGTTGTCTTCATTGGCAAAGTCTCAATTGAGGCTGACAATTGTTTTACACTTCTTTTAGGGCGCCTGTTATACTTAATTTCTGGACGCTGCCACAAAGTTATTCATAATTGACGTATGGTGAAGGTTAAAGACTTGTAGTCTGGAAATCAGACAAGGACAACCCAACCTTAGGACATTAAGAAAAGTAAGATGATGGAGCTGATCTATATATCATTTTCTGATATTCATATTTAAGGAACGTTTTAGTTTGTGACATGGCTGTACATTAAACTACTTCAAATAGTTTTTGCACATGCCCCACATCAAATGACATAAATGAGATGCATTTTTGTCAGATACATCATATGGTACTAAAAATATTACTAAAATCAGTTTTATCATGAATGTACATGATATCAAGAGTCTCATCTTTCTAAAGTGATATTACTATCCATGTACTTAATATGAACACTCTATAGATGTACAGTTTCTAAGAAAAGGACTGGGTCCAAAATAAAGGCTAACCAATGAGTCATTTTCAACAGGACACAAGCCATGATGCCTTAGATGGTATGTGCACGAGGAGTGTTAGTCGCCATGGCAATCTAGTGGGGTCAGCAGATCAAGCACACCGCCCTCCTATGGTGTGGTCAGTTCATTAATCACACAGGAGTCGTTATCAATTTTCTAACCAGAAGGAAATATGGCTTCCTGTATTAGGTCCTAGCCAGGGGAAATCCGAGAAGAAAAGTCATCCTGGTCTGAAAGTTATTAGTAAACACACATGTTACAGTAATGATGTCTCACAGTCAGATCCACTACCTAATCTTGTACCTACAGGAGTCATCACTACAACAGGGTCAGTTTTATACAACATGTAGGTCGATGGAAACAGCTGCAAGTTAATGGATTATCATATCCATAGATACCCACGTAATTATGAAATTTTTCCATCATACAATGTACTTCCTCTTTCTATGATCATTCTTGTACAAACTTAATTATCATCCCTTCACATATATCTTCTCCATTATCGATACAGATGTAACAGAATATTGTGGTACTACAACTGTACAACTACATGTACATGTACATTAGGTGTTGTTTTAGACGAGGATTGCTCTAACTGACTTATAACATGTAATTGTTGGGATTGGTTGGGATTGGGACACATTACAGTACATTGTACAATGTACACAATCATGTTAAGTGGTTCTTTCTAGTGATACGGCTAGAAGCCATATAAAAAGGCAGGTAAAAGACTTAAATTTAACCTGCTTGGTTTTGTATCAGTTGGACTGGCCCTAATTAATAAATATGGTTGTTTGTGACACAGAAACCCATTTCTGTGATGTTCCCAGCGGAGGCCAGTCTGGAGGGTCTATCTGTCTGACCAGCTGCACCCTGGGATAGGGGAGGATCCTGGGTAGAAGGTCAAACTCAGTGTCATTCCCGGGGAGGACATTCTTAATGGTGTGGAAAGGGGCAGAAACCAGAAAATGGAAGTTCTTGCTCTCTTGAAGTTTGAAGTTTGAAGTTTATTTCATACTACAGCCTTATAGCAGCCTAAAGGCTGAATTGACAGGTCTGTTTACATACAGTGATATACAATAAATAAATTACATTAAAGATGTCTAAGTATGCTTAATAAGACGCATTAAAATTTAATAAAAGCCTATAGATATTTAAAAAGTTTGTAAGTGATATATACATATGAGGAAATTAACTATTTTGTAGAATGCTAAGCGAGTAATGAAAAAGTCATTAGTTACAACAAAAGGTTCACGGGTAGGCATAAAATAGTCGGTTAACAGGGATCATTGTAAGAATAAAAGACGATGTAATAGTGAGACTAACAATACAAGGCTCTAACTTTATAACATTGTGTCCATTCAAGATTCGTTGTTTAAAAGTTCGATCAAGTAGGGCAATGGTGAGTTTTTGTAGCGCTCCGTGCGACAGTATGGTGTGTCAATCTTGTGAGAGTTGCGAGTTTGCCGTCCGGACACATCACGCCTGGTCGGGGGTAACCAGTTCCTGAACTCTGAGTTCAACAGGGATGTGGCGAATGACCGACAGAGGCTAACCCGTCGATCTGACAGTGTGGTGAGATTCAGACTCTCCAATGCTGACGCGTAGTTGTCGTACTGATGTCCGAGAATAATCCTACACGCCCTTTTCTGGATGCGTTCTAGACTTGTGGTTTGTTTGACAGTCAGCGATGAATGCCACACGGGTGTCGCGTACTCCAAGGACGGACGAACATATGCGGTGAAGACAGTCGTCAGGTCGGTAACTGACATGCCGAACCGTTTAAGTCTGCGCAGTGGATACAGTTTTCTATTGGCACCTGTGATCATGTTGCTGACGTGGGTGTTCCATCTTAAGTCGTTTTGAATGGTCACGCCGACGACTTTGATGCTTACTACCGATTCCAGCTCTTGGCCTTCGAGGGTGAGTGGTAGTGGTATTGGAGGTAATTTGCATAGCATACATGGAGTACCTTGCATTTCCGCGGGTTTAATTTCATTTTGTGTACACCCACCCAGTGGTTGAGATCATCTAGGGTTGGTTGTAAGGTGCAAGGTTGACGCGTAGACCATTTCTGTGCGAGGTTTAAATCGTCGACGTACTTCCAGCGGTCATGTACATCCCGAGATGCCCCATCGATCACGGCCATGAAGATGATTGGCCCGAGGATTGTTCCCTGGGCCACGCCGCATGTAAGATGGGTCCAATCAGAACTTTTCCCCATGTAGTTTACTCTCTGCCGTCGGTTTGCCATAAAACTGCAAACCCATGGTATTAGGGCAGGACGTACTCCCAGGTTCAGTAGGCATTTGATGGCTGTAGCATGGTCAACCCTATCGAACGCTTTAGACAGATCTGTTGTGACAAGGGTGCAGGTGGAAGATGGTGTTGACGTTGACTTGTACATAAAGTCTAGGAGACTTACTAGTGCGTGGGTTGTCGACCTCTTCCGCCTGCAGCCAAACTGACGAGGATCGAGGTGAGGAGATATGTCTTCTAATATCCAGTTCGCGACGAAACGTTCACAAACTTTGGCAAGAAGTGAAGGGATATGGGCCGCAACTCATCAATATGTGGCGGTGAACACTTAGGTAGTGGGGTGACATTCGCCTCTTTCCACTGATGGGGGACGATCCCCTGCTTGATCGATGTATTGATGGAGGTCGCAGAGAGGGCCGCTAATTTCACATGCGAACTCCTTCAGTATGACTCCTGGCAGACCGTCGGGTCCAGGGCTCTTATGGGGGTTGGTAGAGCGTAGGTGGGCATAACTCCCAGACTTCAATGGTGGGAAGTGAGAAGTCAGGTAAGAATGCAGGAAGTGATGAAGGATCCAGAGGTGGTAAGGACTGTGACACTTCAGCGAATTTGCGGTTTATTTCGTTGGCTATCGCTGTGAAGTCATTTTGGTCGATGTTAGGTGTATTGATAAGTGTGGTCTTCCTACTCATATTGCATATGTCCTTGATGTTCTTGTGCCAAGTTCTGGGGTTTTCCTTCTTGCGTCCTTCTACTCTGACTTTGTAAAAGTTGGACTTTGCTTTACGGATCTCTTTCTGCACCTTGGTATTGTAGTACTTGTATTTAGCTTTGAGTTCTGATGAGAAAGCTTCCTGTCTCTTCCGGATGAGAAACTTGACAAGTGGGGTTACCCAGGGCTTGTCATTAGGATGAAGTTTCACTTGTTTTTGCTAGGGAAAAACCTGTCAATAGCATGGGTGAGTGTTCCGTAAAATGCCTTAGCCTTGTCGGTCGCAGTTGTCGCGTTAAATACTTCTTCCCATGTGTAAGTGGTAATCCATCTCCCAAAGTCGCTTAATCCGGGTTCGCGTATTGGTCTTGTAGTCTTCTTTGCACACGTGTTTTGTTTAAGTCTCTTCCTTGTTTAAGTCTCTTCCTTGTAGGGTTGTGAAACCATGTTTAAGTCTCTTCCTTGTAGGGTTGTGAAACCATCCATTTAGCAGCTTTTTGTAGCCCTGGAACGTGTTTTAGTGTGCATGGGTCTGAGTGGCTGTATTTTGGGATTAGTTGAGACTGGGGTGAAGAAAAGAAACTTTCTGAAGAAAGAAATCAAAGTGGCCAAATCACAGGTGGTCTGGATATGATGTTGTACCAGTTGTTGTCCCCTGTGAAAGAATTGATTTGTTATGGAGTGTGCTGGTGGAAAATTCAATTTGTAGTTGGGAGTCTTTAGAAACCTGTTTTAAGGTCTCCAGAGGAATGTCAGGCACCATGTGAAATTGTAATGCCACACACCTACTTGTTGCAGAAAAGTTGATTTGCCTCTAGGAAAGGTAATAGAAACTGAGAACAGAAGATGAATTGTTTTGCAGTACTCTTCAACTTGAGGATTCCTCAGAGTACAAGCTTTGGTCTGATGGCAGGGCATGTCTTTGGTAGTTGGCCCAGCTCCAACATTCCATGTCCTGAAGGGTTGCCTGCATGTGCCGCTTGTGTCTATCAGTGTTGACTTCTCACCTGGTCTAGTCAGCTCCCATGGCTGAGGGACCGCAGAAGGCTGTTTCAACTGACGGCTGCAGACATCTGTCAGCATCAGGTTCAGGGACAACATCACGGTTCCTTCACGTGTTGATAGTTAGGTAGAGGTTAGCAGACGTCAAGTTTGAGTACTGGT